CCGCGGGCTCAGGCAATCCCCTCACCTCAGCCTCCCAAAGGTGCGGGATTACAGGCTGAGCCACTGAGTCTGGCTAGCCTGTGATTTTCAAACTATTTTGTGGATACTGGAGGGCCCAAGCTGGGCCAGGTGTCCCACCTCTGCTTGGGAGATCATGAGAGGTCTAAGAGTTCCCAAAGGAGGGGCAGAGGTGAGGGCTGGACACTCAAGGGAGGGGCAGTTTACCAACCAGCATGGACATGTAATCTGTGAATAAGGAGCTAGGACTATAGAACTCAGCTATGGCGGGGAGGGAACCAGGGCTAACTCTCGGCGGGCGTCCCAGGGCTGCAGGGCTGGCAGCTGAGCCCGGTGCCTGGGTGACCGGCTCCTTCCCTCACAGGTCTTGCCTCCCTCTCTTCCTGTCTTCTGGCTGCGCCATGGCTCCGGGCCCCTTCTCCTCGGCGCTCCTCTCGCCGCCGCCTGCCGCCCTGCCCTTTCTGCTGCTGCTCTGGGCAGGGGCATCTCGGGGCCAGCCCTGCCCCGGCCGCTGCATCTGCCAGAACGTGGCGCCCACGCTGACCATGCTGTGCGCCAAGACGGGCTTGCTCTTCGTGCCGCCTGCCATCGACCGTCGCGTGGTGGAGCTGCGCCTCACCGACAACTTCATCGCGGCCGTGCGCCGCCGAGACTTCGCCAACATGACCAGCCTGGTGCACCTCACCCTCTCCCGGAACACCATCGGCCAGGTGGCAGCCGGCGCCTTCGCCGACCTGCGCGCCCTCCGCGCCCTGCACCTCGACAGCAACCGCCTGGCCGAGGTGCGCGAGGACCAGCTCCGGGGCCTGGGCAACCTCCGCCACCTGATCCTCGGCAACAACCAGATCCGCCGCGTGGAGTCGGCCGCCTTCGACGCCTTCCTGTCCACCGTGGAGGACCTAGACCTGTCCTACAACAACCTGGAGGCCCTGCCGTGGGAGGCGGTGGGCCAGATGGTGAACCTGAACACCCTCACGCTGGACCACAACCTCATAGACCACATCGCGGAGGGGACCTTCGTGCAGCTGCACAAACTGGTGCGCCTGGACATGACCTCCAACCGCCTCCACAAACTCCCGCCCGACGGGCTTTTTCTGAGGTCCCAAGGCACTGGGCCCAAGCCACCCACGCCGCTGACCGTCAGCTTCGGCGGCAACCCCCTGCACTGCAACTGCGAGCTGCTCTGGCTGCGGAGGCTGACCAGGGAGGACGACCTGGAGACCTGCGCCACCCCCGAGCACCTCACGGACCGCTACTTCTGGTCCATCCCCGAGGAGGAGTTCCTGTGTGAGCCCCCGCTGATTACACGGCAGGCGGGGGGCCGGGCCCTGGTGGTGGAGGGCCAGGCGGTCAGCCTGCGCTGCCGTGCTGTGGGTGACCCTGAGCCGGTGGTGCACTGGGTGGCACCCGATGGGCGACTGCTGGGGAACTCCAGCCGGACCCGGGTCCGGGGGGATGGGACACTGGATGTGACCATCACCACCTTGCGGGACAGTGGCACCTTCACTTGCATTGCCTCCAATGCTGCAGGGGAAGCCACCGCGCCTGTGGAGGTGTGTGTAGTACCTCTGCCTCTGATGGCCCCCCCACCAGCCGCCCCTCCGCCACTGACCGAGCCTGGCTCCTCTGACATCGCCACGCCCAGCCGACCTGGTGCCAACGATTCTACGACTGAGCGCCGGCTGGTGGTGGCTGAGCTCACCTCGAACTCTGTGCTTATCCGCTGGCCAGCCCAGAGGCCGGTGCCCGGCATCCGAATGTACCAGGTTCAGTACAACAGCTCCGTAGATGACTCCCTCGTCTACAGGTGGGTGTGGGTGCTGTAGCCCAGGGGGGCCCTCCTTCCCACCTGCCCGTTTCCTGGCCTTCTTGTTCAACCAGGGGTCCAGGTGGCTGTGCAGAAGGGTGCTGGGCCCTCGCTTGCCCTGCTTCCTCTCTTCTCTATTGCTTTCTCACCATCTCTGTTTTTCATGCATTTAGCACGTATTTGTTGAGCCCTTACATGGGCCAGACCAGGGCTGAGCATTGGAGTCACACAGTGAACCAGCCCCACATGATCCCAACCTTCATGGGGCTCTTGGTCAGTATCACTGCTCAAAAGGGGTCAGATTGTGTACTGCGCCAGTTCAACATGTTGGAGCATGAAATACACACACATTTACAGTTACATTTAATTTATAAATGACAAACCATTACTTCTGTACAAACTCACTGTGTAGGTATATTGCAGAAACAGAAAATGCCGGGTGTGGTGGCTCACGCCTGTAGTCCCAGCACTTTGGGAGGCGGAGGTAAAAGGATTGCCTGAGCTCAGGAGTTCAAGACCAGCCTGAGCAACATGGCGAGACCTTGTCTCTACAATAAATCAAAAAATTAACCGGGCCTGGTGGCATGTGCCTGTAGTTCCAGGTAGTTCCAGCTACTTGGAAGGCTGAGGTGGAAGGATTACCTGAGCCCAGCAGGTTGAGGCTGTGGTGGCCGTGAGGCTGTGGTGGCCACTGCACTCCAGCCTGGGCGACAGAGTGAGACTCCAACTCAAAAAAACAAAACAAAACCAGAAAACAACAAGTAGGACTTCTATTCCTCCTTTGGGTTAGAAGCCATTGCCCTGGTGTGGACAGACATAAAGAGAGTTACTTTCTCCCATCATCCCTATTGTTCTCTTGCTGTCACCTCTTGGTCTCTGCCTTACTTCCCTCATACCTTTATTAGCCCCTGAGCTGGGTACTGAGGACACAGGAAGACCAAGAGACCAGTCCCTGCCCTCAGGGAATGTGTAACCTAGTGGGAGGAGGCCTATAGTACGTTATGAATGACTGCCTTGGCTTTCCATGTCTCTCCATCTTAGTAGTTTTCTAGTATGGCTCTTGGCCACAAGTAGGCACACAGTAGGCATGGCACACAGTGGGCGCTTGGTAAATGGTTGTTTGCCACGTAGATGTCTTCCCCCCGCCCCACCTCCCTCGCACGTATTGTAGAGCACCTACTAAATGCTTAGCCTTGTGCTTGGCTTCCCTTGGGGGTGCCAGAACCATTTCCCAGCTGTGGGGAGCCCCAGCTCCTGGCTGTGCTTAGACTTCCACCCGGAAGCCTGACTCTTGGCCTCCGTCTACACCCTTCCCAGTGTTCTCTTGGCCACAGGCCTGGCACATAGTAGGTACGTTCCCAGCATTGATTGAATGAGTAAATGCCTCTCTTTTCCCTCATTTCTGTCTTCCTCATTTTCCTTTCCTTTCGATTCTGGTCACCAACCACTGAGTAAAGGCCTATTGAATGCTGATCCAGCGCTGGGCCCTAGGCCTACCGAGATAAATTAGACAGTGCTACAGTCTTACAAACATTAGGGCAAGCATGTGAAGAAAAACCTTCACAAGGTACTTCCAAGATTGCTACCTCGTTTGATCTTCCCAATTCTACTATGAAGCAGTGATGATCTCCCTTCCCATTTTACAGACAGAGAAATTAAGACTCAGTGGAAGAAGTCACTTGCTCAAGGTCACACAGAAAATAGAGCTGTCCTTTTTATGGTAAATACATTTATCGAGCACCTTCTGTTTACCAGGCAGAGATGAGGGAAGATAAATAGTATATTTCTGTAAATAACTCAGTTTCTATAACTCTCCACTTCTGTCTTTCTCTTTCCTTCTCTCTGAGGCATGGCCACCACATGGCGGGGTGGGGGGGTTCGTAGGCCCCAGATTCTGCATGTATCCACATCTTGATGGCTCTCTGTCGCCAGCTGGGCTGCAGACCCTGGAGACTCTTCCCTTCCCCTTAGGTGCACAGTTCCAGTTATCTATGCCTCCTTGCGGTTGTCTGTGCTTTGGCGCTGCAGGGGTTAACCTCCTCACTGCTGCCATGGGTGGAGGTGACATCCAACCAGAAGCCTGCTTAGCTGCTTGCTTGGGTCTTGCAGCCAATCAGAGACGCATGGGCTCAAGCTTTCTTAAGGAACCAGCCTCTGTCCTTGAAAAAGGGGGAGCCCTGGCAGCTGGTTATTTTAGGAGAAGGAGTAAGAGGAACCCAGGGTCCTCAGAGAGGGGAGATGAGGAGAGGAAGAGGAAGACAAAACCAGGCGGCCAGGGCTGGGGTGGGGCAGGGAGCTGGGCTGGGGCAGGGAGCTGGGCTGGGGCAGGGGGTGGGTGGAGTCAGAGCCGAGGGTGGGCCTTTATGAAGGGGTGGGGCCCTCACCGGAAGTCTTTTGGTTGGAGGGTGGCTCCTGGTGGTGGAGGAACCTCCTGGAGGTGGGATGACAGAGGTGGGGCTTCAGGACCAGAAGGTGGCCCTGCTTCATCTCAGAAGATCTAGCATCTGAGAGAAAAGCGGGCCTGTGGAGATGGGGGTATGGCCTGTCAGAGGAGGTGGAGCTTGTGTTGCAAGGTCCCTTGCAGAGGGGGCAGTCCTTGTCTCTGGTGACCCTCTAAGAGCCTTTGCAGGAGAAGAGCGCTTGTGAGGTAGAGTGCTGGTTCTGCATATCAATGTGGACTAGCAGTCCTGCTTTAGCTGAAGCTGGACGTGGCCAGCAGTGTGGAAGGGACATGTTCAACAAGAGAGGTCCACGGCCTAGCCGGAATGGTCCCTCGGAGGGGTGGGTCTTATGGATGGGGAGGAGTTTAACTGGCAGTAAAGTGTAAGCCCCAGCGAGGGTTACTGGCCAACACCAGGTGCAAGCTAATAATATTATAAAGTGGTGGGCTTTGGGTTTGTTAACTCATTCGTTCCTCAAACTACCTCTATGATGTAGGAATTCTTCATATCCCCATTCAGGGGAAATTAGACACAGAGGGGTTAAGAAACTTACCTAAGGTCACAGAACTAGCAAATGGCAGAGGTGAGACTCACACCCAGGCAGTCTGGCTCCTAGATTTTGTTAGCTTAATCACTTCTTGACACTACTCCTCATTGGAAGGGAGGGGCCTATAGCAAGAAAGGTGCACTGTGCTCGTGTGGCTACATTTGACCCAATTATGGATGAAACTTACCTGATAGTGTGATTTGGTGATGTCTAGCGGTACAGGGCTGGGTGTGCACAGGAGGGGTGGTTGCCTCTGCCATCTAGACAAGGTGGTTGCAGGGCAAGCAGAGTGGACATGGTCCTAAGCTCAGTAGAGGGCCCATTCCTAATGGACCATTATGGGGTGTGGCTTGGAAAGGGAGTAGCCTGGAGCAGAGGTCCTTTTTTTTTTTTTTTTTTTTTTTTTTTTTTTTTGAGTCAGAGTCTTACTCTTTTGCCCATGCTGGAGTGCAGTGGCATTATCCTTCTGCCTCAGCCTTCCAAGTAGCTGGAACCACAGGCTGCACCACCATGCCCAGCTGATTTTTTATTTATTATAGAGACAAGGTCTCGTCACGTTGTCAGGGCTGGTCTCGAATTTCTGAGCTCAGGCAATCCGCTCACCTCCATCTCCCAAAGTGCTGGGATTAAAGGCTGAGCAAAAGTCCCTTCATGAGTGGGAATATGTAGTTGAGGGGCTTGAAAATTGTGCCATAAATCAGACAAAGCCAGATGTTTCACTCAAAGGTGGGGCATGCAGATGATGCAGAGTGACCTCTATCATGGTTTTCCCCAAAAGCAGGACTAACTTTAAAGAAGGAACTAGGCTGGGTGCAGTGGCTCAGGCCTGTAACCCAAGCACTTTAGGAGGCTGAGGTGAGAGAATTACCTGAGCCTACGGGTTTGAGACCAACCTGGGCAACTTAGTGAGACCTCATCTCTACAATAAATAAATAAATAAATAAATAAATAAATAAAAATTAGCCGGGTGTGGTGTCGCATGCCTGTAGTTCTAGCTACTTGGATGGTTGAGGCAGAAGGATCACCTGAGCATAGTAGGGTGAGGCTGCAGTAGCTGTGAGCGTGCCCCTACACTCCAGCCTGGGTGACAGAGTGAGACTCCAACTCAAAAAATAAATAAGAGCCAGGCTCGGTGGCTTAACCTGTAATCCCGTGCTTTGGAAGGCTGAGGTGAGTGGATTGCCTGAGCCCGTGGGTTCGAGACCCACCTGGGCAACTTGGCAAGACCTCATCTCCACAATCAATCAAAAACTCAGCCGGTGTGGTAGCGCGTGCCTGTAGTTCCAGCTACTTGGAAGGCGGAGGCGGAAGGATCGCTGGAGCCCAGCAGGTCGAGGCGGCCACTGCACTCCAGTCTGGGCGACAGAGTGAGACTCCAACTCAAAAAATAAATAAATGAAGGAGGAACTAGAAGAGCGTCTGTTGTTCCAGTAGGAGTAAGACCAGTGCTGTGCATTGACCCCAGAGTCCACAGAGTGGAGGTGGGGCATGCAGATAAGGGGAATGGCCTGTAGCATCAGTCTTAATAAAGGGTAGAAATATGGCCAGGCGTGGTAGCTCACTCCTGTAATCCCAGCACTTTGGGAGGCTGAGGTAAGAGGATTGCCTGAGCCCAGGGGCTTGAGACCAGCCTGGGAAACTTGGTGAGACCTCATCTCTATAATAAATCAAAAAATTAGCCCGAGTGATGGGGCGTGTCTGTAGTTCCAGCTACTTGGAAGGCTGAGGTGGAAGGATCACCTGAGCCCAGCAGGTCGAGGCTGCGGTGGCTGTGAGCGTGCCACTGCATTCCAGCCTGGACAACAGAGTGAGACCACAACTCCAAAAAAAAAAAAGAGTAGAAATATGTGGATGAGGCTGGGTACGGTGGCTCATGCCTATAATTCCTGCACTTTAGGAGGTGGAGGCAGGAGGGCTGCTTGAGCCCAGCGGTTTGAGACCAGCCTGGGCAACATAGTGAGACCTTGTCTCTACAAAAAATATAAAAATATAAGCTTGGCATGGTGGCACTTTGCCTGTAGAGCCAGCTCCTCGAGAGACAGACGGATGGGTCACCTGAGCCTGAGGAGGCTGCGGTGAACTGTGACTGTGTCACTGCACTCCAACCTGGGAGACAGAGTGGGGCCCCACTCAAAAAAACAAAAGGTAGCTGAGGGCTCTTGAATGGCAGTTGTCCTGGTAGGAATGAGACTCTACTAGGGGACGTGTTCCTTGAGGGGAGGGTGTAAAAGCTAAGCTCTTCTCTCCTGCAGCATACAGATATATAGGATATAGAGCAGAGGGACCACGAATGGCTTTGAGGGCGGGGCGTGCAGATGCGGGTGGGAACCTGCAGCCGTGGCCCAGAGAGGGTGGGGATGTGTTGACGCAGGGCGGAGTTTAAATTGCTGTGGTTGTCTCAGTAGGGGGTGAGACCTCAGTAGCTCCGCTTAGTCCCCACTGCTGACCATGGGTGGTGCACACGGGAGCGGGGGGTGGCCCAGCGTGAGGCTAACTTCGCCCTGATCCCTGCAGGATGATCCCGTCCACCAGCCAGACCTTCCTGGTGAATGACCTGGCGGCGGGCCGCGCCTACGACCTGTGCGTGCTGGCGGTCTACGACGACGGGGCCACCGCGCTGCCGGCCACGCGAGTGGTGGGCTGCGTGCAGTTCACCACGGCCGGGGATCCGGCGCCCTCCCGCCCGCTGAGGGCCCATTTCTTGGGCGGCACCATGATCATCGCCATCGGGGGCGTCATCGTCGCCTCGGTCCTCGTTTTCATCGTCCTGCTCATGATCCGCTACAAGGTGTACGGCGACGGAGAC